CAAGGTGACCAAGGCAGAGAAGAAGTTTTATCTCAAGATCCTGCAGCACTTCGACCAGGTCATGGAAACAGCGGGCTACAGCGGGGCTGATGGCCCGGCTTTTGTGAACCTGGACGGTCTGTTGTGGGCCCTCATCCCGTAATCTGCGCAGTGTCCTTAGCGTGTTAGGTTTAGGCTGTTTGGGGTTGAGGTCCGTTTTCAGAGTTTCAAGCCCAATAGCAGCCAACGAGCAGTGATGACAGAAATGCTGCGCCGGAAAAAAACTGATGCTGAAGCCTCTGTCTTGTAACCTTTTGGTGTCCAAGCCTAGCCTATCGCTTTTGCATTGCGCTTCCCTGACATTGGCCTTCCGGGGCATAGACACGACCTGAACTTCTGGTAGCCATGGATGGCCTGTAACCCCGCTTTACGGCTCCTTTGCGTTTGTACTGGGTGCAGGATGTGTCACATAAACGATTTTATTTAGCCTGTTTGCTGCTTCGAATAGTTGCAGGCATCCCCACATCAATGTATCACGCCGACTTCTGCACCTATGAATCCTCGCCTGGCTTGTCCGAGTTGTGAGAGTGTATACGTGAAATCGTTGCGGCAATAGTAGTACAGCGAATGTTCATATTGACCATAATAACAACATGAAATGAGACACTTAGATGGGCAACCGATAGTATCCGATAGTAGCAATGATGTTAGTATGAATGTCACCTAATGTAGGGGCTTAAATAGCTACCTATACTATTTTTGCTGTCCCTTATTCTAATTATGGGTGGAATGGGCCCCAAAACCCTGCTCTAAGTAGTAAGGCCCCCTACTTGGAGGATCATGGGACTTAGTAAGTAAGGTTATAAGTCCCTTAATTGGGGTTATAAGTATAGTTACCCTAATTATAACCCTACTTACAAAGTCCCATGATCCTTTAAGTACATTCGTCTTCTGCGTCAGGGCCCAAGCGCAGTTCTACACCGGCTGCCTCGTCATCGTGCTCGAGGCTCCTCGCCATCTTACCCGCCCATTTTTACGGGGGTTTAGGGTTTAGGGTTTAGGGGCCATTTAGGGCGAGGTTTCCCCGCAAGCGTCGTTCAGGATTTTTTTTGGCAGGGTTCCAAGTTATTCCAGTACTTCATGGGCCAGTTCGTTCAGGAAATCTCCAGGTCACCGTTAAAATGGCGGCATGGGGGTTTGAGATCACCGCGAGGAGACCGATGCAAGCCTTTGTTCCAGTAGTCTGAGACTTGATGGTCAGGAGCTCTGTGAGAAGAACATCGTGTATAGAGCACCTTGGCCTTTGGAGTCCTCAGGCTGTTGCGGTCCGCCAGAAACGGCAAGTGTCAGCATCCACGGTGATTCGATGATTCTACAAGCGCACTGACATGTAGGAACTTCCTACCGCTACTTGGCCACTCCTAACTTCCTCTTTGCAAGGATTTGAAGCCCGAGAACGTGATGCTTGATGCTCAAGGCTGGCTTGACGTCTTGTGCAGTGGGCTTTTCCAGGGACGCACCTTTCTCCGGTGGTTTTCAACATGTGAAAGAGACGCCTACCTGCACCAGGATACCTCAAACTTATCGACTTCGGCATTGCCAAGAAGCTAGAGGAGGGAAAGACTCGAACCTTCACCATGTGGCTGGGCTGGTTCTTACTTGTGGAGCTAGGTTATCTGACTTCGGCTTGTTGCCAAGCATCAAATCAGAACCCTTGGAAAGCCTGGCCTTGCTAGAGTTTGTTATTGCTCCCTGCTGCGTTGCGATTGCCACTACGACGACGACTACAATTACTACAACTGTGCCAGGTGGGTGGCAAAGCTGCTTCTGAACTGCTCGTGTTACTACTACTGTCACTACCGCCGGTGCCGCTTTAACCACTGCTGCACACACTCTTCTTGCAGGACTCGCAGTTGCAGTTGTTGTTGTTGTTGTTGTTGTTGTTGTTGTTGTTGTTGTTTTCAATTTTTTTATCTGTTCATTCCTTCGAGAAATATTGACAAGAGATTGACTGCTCAGGATCGGGACTCCGCATTATATGGCCCCGGAGATCATGCGAGGACACGGCTACGGCACAGAGGCATCGGGCGTAATTTCCTGGCCGTGCTTTATCGTGCTTTCAGGCGATTTCCTCGAAAGCTACACCTGTGTCTGGTGGGTTTCCGAATTAGTCGGAGGGGATCAGGGTGGCTCCAGGTAGTGGCTGGCAGTGGTGGAAGTCTTGTTGTTCTAGAGCTAGACCTCACAGCCATCTTCACTCCAGAAATCGCTCGGTTAAGAGTCGCAGGCCTGCATCCAAAGTTCCTAGCCTGTCGCGCTCCACCCGGTGCAAACCCCGTCTCGTGTTTTGAAAAAAGACAGGCAAAGTTTTGGAGTGCATCTGCTGGGTCTTAATCCTAAACCTTATCAATTGGGCTTAATTCATTCAACAGCCAACCCGCCTTCTGAACCGGTCACAGGTAGATTTGTGGTCCCTCGGCGTCATCCTTTTTGAGTTCGTCTGTGGCTGCTTGGCTTTACCGAGTCCGCACAGCAGCAGCATCGACGTGTGCATTCGGGGTATCGGCGAAAGCCGTGCCTCAACGAAGTGACGCCTGTTGCTGTTTGGAGCCATCGTCTCAAGCTGGATTTAGGGTTTAGGGTTAAGGGTTTAGGGTTCTGATGCGAATTGGATTCATGCCAAACTGTGAAGAAGGAAGATCTGCAACCACCACGAGCACAGGCTACTTGCCCTTCGCTGATGAGCTCGACGATCCCACGGAGGTGTGCACCGCTGTGTTCCTTGTCCAGGAAGACCGTCCGGTAAATCCTTGAAGCCTGAACCAAGGTGCACTAGATTGTATTGAAAGGGAGCTGCAGTTTTGCAGAAGGATGAAGTGTCTGGCAAGTTGCGAGCGGTGCTGGCAGCGGTAGCTTCGGTGCTTTGCTCAAAGAGAGGGTTGTGTATAGTAGAGGCGCGCGAAAGGCAGGTCGCCCCGAAGCGCTGCAGCTCATGCGGGAAAGCTGTCACGCTGCCCCAGGAAGCACTCCAAAACCAAAGGCCGGTCCTTTCAGACTCTCGGGCAGTGCAACCGAGGCTCAAGGACCCGTTGGATTTCCCTGCTCGGTTCAAGGACCGGGCTTTGGCTCGCCTCTCGCCTTGGCCGATGCACGGTCGTGTCTACCGAACTGACAGGACGCGCAGTGCAAGACGGTGATACAAGGCATGCTCAACCGGCAGCCGAAGAAGCGGCTGGGAGCAGGCAGTTTGGCAGAACCGGCACTGGAGTCGGATCCTTCAGCTCGGCTCTGTTGGTTTTGTGGTTTTTTGGAGCTTCTTGATGATCTTAGTTGCGGGCTGTGGGTATCTCACGACATCACCGTCCGAAGAGTAGCCGTTTTTTTGAGTTGTCTCGAGACTGGGCCCTTCTCGTATTTGGGGCTGTGCCCATCACAGTGATTCGGGTTCTGTCTCGATCAGCCTTGAGGTCTCAATGGTTGGGAAGACATCAGGACGCCAGGGGGGAGTGGGGAAAGGAGGGTGCAGTCAGCTTGAATCCTTGAAGTCGACAATGTGGGTCCGTGCAGACGGTTTTCAGGGAATTGCGCTTGCGATGAAGTTGTTGCGGGGAGTTAGGCGGGCATTCCATTCCGGCACAGAAACAATTAACTTCAAGCTATGTTGCGGAGCCCTCAACAGCAAGCCGAAGGCTAGAGTCGGCTAGAGTGATTTTTGCTGATGCTGACCATCAAAACCATCAAAGCGCTCAAATCCTGAAGCGGTTCGCCATGTGGGAGTAGGAGCCGAACAGCACATTGCATGATAATCCATACGTGGCCGAAGCGACGGCAAGCTGACTGTACTTCTCGCAAATTTTTCCGTGTTCTGAGGAGTTCGGAATTCTTCACCCAAGGCCACACTTCCACGACCCTGCTCCGTGGCTGTTGAAAGCCTTCGCTCAAGACTGCTCATCGCCGTCGTTGCCTACCAGTCCTGCCTCCCCCCTCCCGCTACTGCTACGGCTGTTGCTGTTGCTACTGAACCTGCTGCTCCTCCTGCTACTTCTACTGCTACTGCTTCTTGTACTGCCACTACTACTATTCCGACTCCTACTCCTACTACTAGTTACGAGTACTAGTACCAGCACTAGCACTAGCACTAGCACTAGCACTAGCACTCGCACTAGCACTAGCACTAGCACTAGCACTAGCACTAGCACTAGCACTAGCACTAGCACTAGCACTAGCACTAGCACTAGCACTAGCACTAGCACTAGCACTAGCACGACGACGACTACTACTACTTCAACAACCTCGTCAGTAGTCAAGACCCTGCAGTGCTGTCGACGACGTGCCAGGTAGGTGGCAAAAACTGCTACTACTACTTCCTACTACCACAACAACTACTGCTACTGCTGCTGCTTCTGCTGCTGCTGTTGCTATCCTCCCCATACTACTGCGCCTGCCGTTGTTTTTTACCGCTACCGCGACAACCTGGACGTGTCAATCAACTACTGCTGCTCTTACAAGTACCGCTACTACTTCGGCCAACGCTGAGCGAGTCCTGTGCTGTTGCCAGCATTGCACTCAACGGCGACAGTGGTGAGCAGAAGCCATAGTTGTTACCACTAATCGAGGTCGTAGTGGAAGTGGAGTAGTGGTGGCGGCGGCGTTGGTGGTAGTGGCGGTGGCGGTAGTTGCAGTAGCAGCAGTAGTAATCGCAGTAGTAGTAGCAGTAGTAGCAGCAGTAGTAGCAGCAGCAGCAGCAGTAGTAGTAGCAGCAGGAGTAGTAGTAGTAGTAGTAGTAGTAGTAATAGTAGTAGTAGTACTACTACTACAACTATCGCTACTACTACTACTACTACTACTACTACTACTACTGCTACGACTTCCATTCCTCGGCTGGATGCCAGGACCTGTAATTTTTCAGATTTCGTGTTGTCAGAAATGCTTTATTTTACAGCGTTGTTTTTTTCGTTGTTGAAATTTTGGAAGCACGTTGGCTTTTGCTTCTGCTTTGTTGTTTTTGAACCTTGCTCTTCAATCTTACAGCCAAAGAGCTGCTATTTCCAGCGCTCATCTTTGAGATTTTCTTGTTTTTTGAGGTCTGGGTTTTCGTGTCGACAAACTGGCGAGCAGACTGAAGCTTTGGATTGGTAAAATTTCGGTGGTCTTGATGTTCATCCAAAGCGTTTGAACCCAATGACTAATGTCGTCCATGGTCTAGTGATCTAGTGAAGTAAGTGTGCTTGAGAACAGTGCATCCATGCCCAAAACCTACGGATATCCATGGTCCATGGCCTAGTGCGACCTATTACTTTCAGACGTCGTGTTGTCAGAAAGTGACGTGTCCCACAACGTTTTTTGTTTCGTTCGAGAACAGAGCATCCATGCCCAAGGCCTGCTGAGGTCCATGGTCTAGTGCGTTCGAGAACAGAGCTTCCATGCCCAAAACCATGGGGGGAAGAGCTAGTAGCAGTAGTAGTCGTCGTCGTCGGCGGCGTCGTCGTGGTCGTCGTCGTGGTGATAGCAACAGTAGTAGTAGCATGAGTAGCAGTAGTAGTAGCAGCAGCCGCAGCAGCTGTCTAAGTACTCTGTACCTAGCACTCGAACCACTGTTGGCAGTAACAATGGTTGTCGTCGGCGTCGTGCTAGCTAACATAACGCGACTGCCACCAACAGCAACAGCAGCTGCGCCAGCACCAACCCTACGAACTCAACCATGAAAGCAACAACGACAATGGCCTACTACGAGGCACGGGGCTGTTTCAGGATACCATGAGGTACTTCCGAAGAATGAATCTTTCAAAAGACTAGAAAGTCATTGTTGTGAGGCTCGGCTGTTCGCGGTTGTGCCAGTTCTTTTGTTAGTGGTGAGCAGTTTCAGCGCGACAGCCAGGTCGGTCAGTCAGACTCACCCACACAATCATCATCATCATCATCACCATCATCATCATCAACACCATCACCATCATCAGCATCATCATCACCACCCTCAACCATTATCGTCATCATCATCATCACATGCCAGAGTATATTCACATGAGCTTCAGTCAATGTTGCGGATGATCGGATACCAGTAAGGACCGACCCTAGACCCGCTCGTCCCCAAGGTTTGACAAGATCATGGGCCGAGAATTGGAAGCACCTGTGGTGCCAAAGGCTGGATGCTGGGGCTCCGTACATAAATTAAACTGGCGCCCCGGATTTTCATCGTAAGTTTGGGTTTGGTTCCAGATACGGTTCAAAAGCAAGTCTTTATGTCACGGAGATGCTATGTCGGTTCTGCATACGACTGCACTGGTGCCCAAGAGCCTAGCTGGGAACGGATGGCTGACGACTCATGATGTAGGTAGTTCCTCGTCTAGCTGACAAGATTACATACATTACCTACATAGTGACAGACTTTCATGGTTCTATACGTACGTACGCACGTACATACGTGCAAACATATGCACACACACACACACGCACACAGACGCTTGCATGCACACGAATTTGCACCAAGTAGCAACTGGACTCAATGTACGCAGGTACTGAAGTGTTCGCTGCAAGTTGGTTCTTGCCAGGGTGAGACGTATTGTGAGCCGTCGGAGCTCGACGTCGCCCTCAGTGATGACAATGAGCTTGGCTAAGCCTGGCTTCGGCGCAGACTGTCCGAAAGGGGTTTGAACGCATAGCCTCTTAGATGTCTTAGAGAACCATGATTGTATTGATTACAGTCGTACATTATATGTTGAGTTGTGCTGCATCGTATAGGATAGCAGCTTGGCACACCGAAGCACGTTCAGACAGTCATATGTAGAGAGAGAATATATATATATATTATATATATATATACATACATACACATATACACATGTACACATTAACATGTACATGTATATCGCAAGCTCTTCTCACTCGCGACTCTTAGTAACAACTTCGTGATGCGTTGTTTCGTAGTAAGAGTTCTGTGTGCCCCGGATGGTTGCTAATGTGATTTCTTAAATGTTATGTCGGCTTCATACTGCCATGCTTTTGTGAACACGGCTACGACCTACGACGAACATTATAATGAAGATGAGCAGGTGGAAGGTCATGCATAATTACATTCCGTGCTGTCATTTGTTTATCAAATCTTGAAGCGTCCCAGGGAGTCAAGGATGTCTTGAAAACAGAGCCGAGTGTTGTGGTGGTTGATGAGGTTCTGATAGTTTCTAGATAAATGCTCGTGAGCTGCAACATGACCCAGTCATGTCTAGCTAAATAAAATAGGCTTTTCAGAAAATATCAAGCTTATGTATGTAGTAGGACCCTCCCCCTAAAGGGGACCCACATTCAGTCTATGAAGCAAACCCCCGGGGACGGCAGTTGGAGCTCGGCGGACGATGCGCACAGATTAAAAGCAACCAGATCAGGGTCGCCTTTATAGGGTTTTGGGGCATATTATGGCATGCTTACATAGGGGCTATAACAACTACAGGGTGATGGTTTTAATCTTATGGCATGCTTACATTGGGGCTATAATAACTACAGGGTGATGGTTTTAATCATTAGTCACGCCCCTGGTATTGTAACCGAGTCGCGCACCTCTTGAATGCATGCTGCGGAATCGAGGGCGTGGGTTGGCGGAGTGGTCAGGTTAAGTGATTCGTGTGGATCATATTTGTTCGTTTGCGGCTCGCGCAAAGAGCGAAGGTTCCGATTTTCTGCGAAGTCTTGGCACAGTCGAGAAGTAGGGCCCAAAGTATACTCCTCTCTGTTACAGTTCGCGCATCGGCCCGATCGTACGCTGAGCAAGGAACACCGGTACGTCTCACTGCTGGTGAGTCATCCTGCACCTCCCTCAGGTGAAGTCATCGTGAAGTTCAGTGCCAACAGGTCACGGATTCATTGTGGGACTCAGGCCTAGCTTCGTGTCACATTCGGCTGACAGCTCGCTCGATGTTCCAGCTCGATTGTATCGCTAGAAGTCATACCGCCCAAAACTTGTTGGTTCGGCTTGTCACCTTCCATTCGCCTACTTTGCTAGGACATAGGAGGCAGGGGAATCACACTGAGGAGGTGAACAGATTCGGACCCCAGCGAATGTTTGATTCTTTCTCCTTGATGGAGATCTACTTAAAGGATCATGGGA